ATCAGGAGGTTGTCATACCCAGGACCCCAGGTATGCTCTGCTAAGGGGAGGCCCAGCAGGAAATGGAATCTGGACACGAGGACTCACAGCATTCATTATTTTGCACTACTCCCTACAGAGTCCTTTCACTGAAGGTCACACAGCTCTTGTCAAGGTGCTTTGTCATTACATCTTTCTTAGTTCCTAGAAAGATGCTCTCTCACACACGCACACATATACACACAAACACTGGCCTGGGATACCACTGTACCCCTCATGGATTCCTCCATCTTGCCCAATAGTGAGTTCACTAAGAAGGAAATAGCAACCCACTCCAGTATTCTTGCCTGGGTAATTCCACGGACAGAGGAGCCTGGTGGGCTACCGTCCATGGTATTGCAAGAGTCAGACTCAACTCAGCAGCAAAGCCACCACCACCAAGTCTGAGTATGCCATCTGAATGATATAGTGAATATATTCATTAAATTATGTTATAAACATTTTAATTGAACTATAGCATGCATACATCTTAAATAAGCCACATAGCTCAATTACAAAGGGAACTCAACAATGTAACCTCCTGTCCCTTGGTTAGCAGGTATCATTCTTTTTCTATGTTTTACTTTATTTATTTGTCTTTCTTTTTGCTCACACCGCATGGCATGTGGGATCTCAGTTTCCCAATCAGATATCAAATCTGCACCTCCCGTATTAGAAGTGAGGAGTCTTAACCACTGAACAGCAAGGAAGTCCCCAGTATCATTCTAATAATTCCCTATTTTGCTTAATATCAAGTATATTGTTTTGTTGGTAGCTAAAAATACTTTAACAAAGACAATAAAATTTCTCTGACACTGACAACACCAGCAATTTTGAAACAACATCTAGGAAATAGTTACAGAAATAACTCCAGAAATGAAATCTAATCAAACTTACTGTGAGAAAACCTAGGGGAATACTGTGAACTAATTATCAGAGAAGGAGAACTAGAAAATTATTAATCAAGATTATAAATTTTAAAGACAAAGGTAAAATTTTGAAACCAGCTCACAGACTCATAATTTTGATAATCATTTATCCACAATTTTAAAATTTAGATTTTATAATCTTAAAGTTTGGGGAAGCAAATTTTTTACATTTTATGTCAACATACAACAAAATCTGATTTGAACTGAAATGAGGCTATTTGTGGTCATAATTTATCCCATTTGTAGAAAATATTCAAATTTCACTACAGAATTATTAATCCTGGAAGGACAGGGCACTGGCCCAGAACCCCGCAGGGATGTTATTAATATATACAATTCAGTGTGTGCTCATGGCTTTGTAAAATATTTTTAAAAAAGATTAGAGTTTTGAAACATATCTGACACCCAAGAACTTCATGTGGAGACTATGAACCTGTCTCTGCATAACTGCTTGAGCAATCTGGAGTTAATTCCAGTGTGTCTTATTAACAGATAAAAAATACTTGCACATTAGGGAACTATTTCTTTGCCAGATGCATATGAATTGTGACCATGGGCTTTTCTTTCTTCATTATTGTCCACCTCTTGCATATCTTTGGGTCCTTGAGGGTTCTCCTGTCACTCACTGGAAGTCTGTAACAGTGGCTAGTTCCATGTAAATATGCTCTCATACCTAGTTGTACCCTGACCAAGTCTGCCCCTGAACCCATGTACCAACACCTGCTTCCCAGCAGGGGCTCCTCTGTTGCATTCCCTTCATGCATTCATTAGCTAGATGTACCAGTAAGTTGGTATTCCATAGGAAAGAACTTGAACTAATGGATGATGGGCACCAATGGGTAATGCTACAACCCCACCCACAGTCCTAAGAAACATCTCATATTTCTTCTCAGATAATCCTATGAACCCATAATGTGATCAGATAATGATTCAGACTTATTTTGACTCACTCCTTTCATTACTCTGCTTCTCTGTCCCTTACTTCTCTTCCCTGGTATCATTTCCCCAATGAAGAATCCCCACAAGAGGCTTTTGCTCCCTAGAGAGCCGAGGATGAGTCAACCACACATGAAATTCTCACAGTAATGAAATTGGAATCTATAAGAATAAGAAGTCTGTACATGCATCATATTAACCTATGTCTTCTATCTACTGTGTCAGGCATTAACACAAGGCACTAAGCAGAGAAAAGCTTAGATGGCATGGACCATACCCTGAATCTAGTAGGGGATACAGGGGACAGAGAGGTAAATAAAGATTATAACAACACATGAGTTCTAGATTTAAGACGTAGTCTATATCACCTCCTCCTAGTGCCAATGAAGATATAGAGCTGCTGTAATTCCCATACACTACTGTGGAAGTGCAAAGTACTACAATCACTCTGGAAAATTGTGCAGCAGTTCCTTTTAAAGCTAAACACACACTCACAATATGATCCAGCAGTCCCACTCTTAGGTAATTACCCAAGAGAAATAAAAATTTAAGTTTACACAAAACCATGTACATGTATGTTTGAAGTAGCTTTACTCACAATTACCAAAAACTAGAAAAAACCCAAATGTCCTTCAATGGGCCAGTGGATAAAAAAACTGGTATCTCCATACCATGGAAGACTACTCAACAACAAAAAGAATGAACTATTGATACACACAATAACATGTATGAATATGAGAGAGAAAAGTCAGTCCCAAAAGTTGTCTGAGTCCATGTACATGACATTCTACAAAAGACAAAAATATAGTGATGAATCACCAGGATTAAGGCAAAGGGTGATACAAAAGAATAATGCAAAGAAATTGGGGGGTGGGGATAAAACTATTCTATATTCTGATTATAGTGACAGTTACATAAATATACATCTTTGTTAAAGTTCATAGAATTTTGAATTTGAAAAGAAAAATCAATTTTGCCCTATGATAATTTTAAAAATAAAATTAGCGAGAAAAAGAGTATGATAATCACTGTTGTGTTTAGGTTATGATGTTTAAATAAAGGAATGTGTTATATGATGTCATGTTTTATTACATGACATGACACAATGCTATATGACACCACCTTGTATTATGTGATATCACACTGTTACATGGTGCATCTTATGTGATACCACCTTGTCATGTGGCATCACATTGTGTTACATGATGTCACATGTTACATGATATACATTGTGTAATGTGATAGCACCTCATGTTATATGGCATTACATTGTATTATGCTTCAACTTACCCAGCATGTCATGTTCAATACGGCACTTCACCAAGGACAAATGACCTGTCCACGGAAGCCCTGGGAAGATCCTGTATTAATTTTGCCCCTGTTCCCATCAAGAGAGTTACTGTAACTCTAAGAAAACTGTATTCCATTTTAAATATTTGCTAATCAAACTTTTTCCAGGTCAACCTCTTTACTATTTCAGCAAACATGCAAATATACATATTATGTATTCTAGGATCCCCAGATAAAATAATTTATCCACAATCCTAACCAAAAACACAAGATTTAAAAGCAGAAACAAAATAAGCCCCTTCAACCCCATAGATATGGTAAAAGATGTGACTAACTTTTTAAAGTATTGTTATTTATACAAAGACCACTGTCAAATGTTAACAAAATTCCATGCAAACTTCAATATATTTTTTCAGTCTTTAAAATGCATGATGTGTTCTTTTAAAATATGATTTCAAACAAAATTAGAAACAAAACAATGTCATACTGTATTGCCCAGGGAATGATATTCAATATCCTGTGAAAAACCATAATGGAAAATAATACAAAAAGACAATTATATATATGTAAAATTGAGTCACTTTGCCATACAGCAGTAACACAATATTGTAATTCAACTAACTTTAATTAAAAATTGTAAGAAAACAATTGAAGGTATGACAGTAAAGTTTAGATAGAGTTTTACAACGTGTTTAAGTTTGAAAGCTTCTGTAGCTGAGACAATAACTTTCCTTCAAGCTTAGTAAATTTTGTGAACATGAAGAAAAAAAGAAAGGAAACAAAATAATCTGTGAAAAAAACATAATCTGTGAACACATAAAGAATTAGCTGATGGAATCCTTCTCCCCACAAACTACCAGTTTTGTACTATTCATTTAATCTTTAGAGATATAAAGAGTCTTAGTGGTAACCAAGAACCAAAGGAGCAATGCTGTCATTTGAATAACTAAGTCTTCCCATGATATTCATCTATTTTACACAGTTAAGAGTCCTTGCTTTCTACAAAAGTTATATTCTTCAAATGTTGTAGTAAATTAAATTTTATAAAAACATTTTAGAAGAGATCATTTTTTAAGGAAAGCCATAGGTAAAAATTTTATTTGAGGTGAGTTTTGGAAATGGTTTTATTTTATTTTAAATAAAGATACAATAGGCTATAGAGATAACTATTAAATCAATTAAAAAGATCTAAGAAGCATGAAAAACATTGATGGACAGTGGAAGAATACCAGGGTAAACAAGATATCTGGTGAGTTCATTCTGCAAGATAGCCATGTGTCAGGTGGAGATGGGTCATGCAACCCCTTGAGAAAGTACAAAGTAAGAGCCATAGGATTGTGAAAGCAAGAGAAGAGAAACCCACGGGAGCAGGTGGGAGACCAGAGTCCTGCTGCAGGGGGCAATGGATGCGCCTTCGAGTAAGGCGAGGGACCAGTGTAGATTTCTGATAAATCTCCAGCCCTTTCACTAACAGTCTCTAATCTAACCATCAGATCAGGTTGTACAATCTGCTGGACAGTGGCCTTGCTGAAATAGCCTCTTATCCTTCCTGGAGGTGCTTCTGAGGTAACAATTTGAAGATCAGATCCAAAATCATTAAGTATGATGCTGTCCACCTTGCTCTCTATCCCTTCTAATGTTCAGCCTAGAGCAGCTGAGGACCCATGGCACTATAATGTCTCTCTCTACTTTCCTCCTGTTCCTTTCCTCCAGAAAACTACCCCTCTAAGCCCTCACCAATGTCTGGAAACAAGCTTTGAAAACTTTCAGATTGTGATATCACTTGAAAAGCCCATAAACAAAAGCTAAGCAAAAAATTAGACTCACCAAGATCAAGATGAACACCAGGGACAAATGAATTGAGAAAACACATGAAGATAACAAATACCAACACTGTCAGGCATTTGGCGAGCAGAGTCTTATCTGATATCCTATGCTGTAAGAGAGGAAAATACAACTCATGTAACTCAACGCAACATAAATTCTGCAATGTGTCCACAATCCTATGTGATTTGAATCACTACAAATTACTCCTTATGATGAAAAATAAAACATGCTGAACTTGAAAGATGATAAGTTCATGGGTACAGATTCAAGACTACCACATTACAGAATCTTGAAATCAAAATCTATGAAAAATTAACACAATAAATTTAAAATATAGTAAAACACTTTTATATAACACATGACTAAATAGATTTTTCAATATGACACAGAGATGCTAAGCTGTTCCCAACCCCACTGCCAGCATTACATGAGATAAAGCCACTGGGGAGCCAACACAGAACCTCCAGAGACTTGGCCCTTCAAGACAGGTGCATTTCCACAGGTTTTATGTGTTCATAGTCTTTTAGTTCACCTTTCTGTTTATTATGCAAAACCCCATTCATGTGGCACTGAGGTTAAAATATTCTTGCAATAACTGGACTACTGCTGAATGCACTTAGCAGTCCCCGAGTCACCAAATGACACATATGGATCCTGCTCCCAGCATTCAGGGGGTAAGGGGAAGAGCACCTTCATTAACTTTGGAGTTGAAGACCTCCTTCCAGTGAACCTGAGCCACAGGGCAAGACAGGGCAAGGTTCCCAAAGGGCTCTGTGCTCTGAGGGCCATGGCTGTGTGCCGCTGGGGCAGGCAGTAAGGTCCCAACAAGCAGACACAGATGCTTGTACACAAGGCACATCTAACCAGGTCCCAATGTGAATCACACTTCTCCATGTGAACCAACAACTGCACTGTGTATTTTCTTCAGTGTGGTCCCACCAGCACCTCTGTTGTTGGTCTATGCCTAGGATCCAAGTCTAGATGTAAATATAAATAAGGTTATCAATAGAGATCTAGGTATAGGTAGATATAGACAGAGCTATGCATAAGATATGGACATAGATAAAGATATAAAGATAGACATAGACACAGAAATTAATATAGACAAGGGTATAGACATGGACATGGTCAGACATAGACTTGAGTGTAGGTATGGGTATAGGTAGAGACAGAGATAGATTTCCTCTCTTGATTGCCTGTGGTCACACAGTTAAAGCTGCTGCCACAAAAATCATAAGCATATCCCTCTGTGTCACAGTGGCTTTGGCAGCAGATCCTGGCCCCCTGGTCATGGGCTTAGGGGTTGCCTTGGGAACCACTATCTTCTTTTCCCACCCACTGCCAAGACTTGCAGCTTGGCTGGCCCCCACTCATCTTTCCATTCACCCTCCAAGGAAGCCAATTTTGCTAAATGAGTCTGTGATGCAGAATTGGGAGGAAAGGAGCCTGGCATCTCATTGGGCCAAGCTAAGCATAGAAACTGGGTATTACTATGCCAACTCCAATACTGGAAATAAGGGATCAGGGAAGTCAGAGTCACTCAGCTGGTACAAGATGACCAAAAGTTTGTGCTTTGTTATTTTGGGATATCAATCAAATTTTACCATTTGATTATCTGAGTTCATCACAATGAAAAGTTTGAGAAATAATGAGGGTAGCTCTCCAGTCCTTGTTCACCAGGTACACACAGAGGTAGTCTCATCCCTAACTTGTGACCAGAACCACACAGGGTCTGTTTAAACCTGAGGCCAGAAAAGTATCAGAGCCACACCTGCCTTCCCTAACCCTGACCATCTGAGTAGGACAGATGATGGGAGGAGAGACTCAAGGAGCATGTTAGCTACAGGTCCCAATGTTTAAATTTTGTTTAGCAAAGGACCAAATGTTCCTAGCATAATTAGGGAGTGGATATTCTACCTCTCCCTAAGAAACAAACCATCTGGATCTGAAATTTCATGAAGATATTACAAATTACTTCCAGCAGATCTTGGGCAGAGCTCTCTGAGTGGAAGAGGGGCACTATGTGTCCTCAGGTGGGTTGAGAAATTCCACCAAGGCATGAAAATGACAAAAGAACTCAAAATAATATTTGCTTCCCCAAGTCAGAGCTGTACAACAGAGGACATACATTCTGTTTCTACCCCCAAAGGTGTTCCATCTCAAGCAGCATGCCTCTCTTGTCTTGGCTTCCATCTCTTAACCTGCACAACGGGGACCACAGACTTGCCTTTCAAGGTCAGGTGGAGCCAAGTGCCAGCCAACCTTCCCTGCATCCACATTAACCACAGAAACCGTTGCTCTATCTTAAAGGAAATATAAAAAGTTTAACTTTTCAATTCCTGGACAAAATAAGCTTACCATGTCTGGAAAATTATCTTTCCCATTAACTCAAAGAAATAGCTATGTCTTATCTACAATTACAGGAATAAAAGAGAGGTGACTTTAAGTTGCAACTTCACATGAAGCAAAGAAAAGGAATTTACTCTGTTCTTCAAGAAATCCCTAAGAAAAGAAACCATAATACCTTTCTTTGTAGCTCCTGGATATTGGTCTCCCAATTTTTATCTTCCTGTGAGATCTGTCTAAAAGAGAAAAGGGCAGACATCATTTTCCTGGTGGCATTGAGCAGTGAGTCCAGCAGGATGGCAGTCAGCAATGGCACACAGCATGATCCCCGGGCCTGGATGCTGTCCACTGCATGACACCAGGTGCAGCCACAGAATGGGGCAGCTCTTTTCATATAAGGCACACAGTAGGGCTGGGTTCTGGACTAGGAAAGATGCTCACTCAAAAGATTCCCAAGGAAAGTAACACATGCAATGACCAGACTGTTCAATGAGGTATGTATGAGTACGGCACAGGAAACCTCAGAATACTGGCCTAAATGTAAATAGGCAGGTTTCTGTAATGGCTCAGATGGAAAAGAATCCACCTGTAATGCAGGAGACCTGGATTCAATCCCTGGGTCAGGACAATGCTCTGGAGAAGGGCATGGCAACACACTTCAGTGTTCTTGCTTGGAGAATCCCCATGGACAGAGGAGCGTGGCAGGTACAGTCCATAGGGTCACACAGTTGGAAACGACTGAAGCGACAGGGAATGAGACAGTAAGTCATCTCTTTTTACTTCTTAATTTTCTGAATTTTTTTCAAAATGAGGCTGTGTTATAATTTAATTAAAGGAGAAAACAGTAAAAGAAATGCTACTTGCTTTAGTGGTGATTTCTATCAATTGGAAATCTACCTTGAAGCACTTGTGTCTGCTTCCCTCCCCTCTAGTCATGGTACCCACCTTATCTCTATCTCTATTTCAGTCACTTCTATTTGTTCCCACTTGCCTTTATTTTTTAACCTTTCCTATCAACTCATCTTTCTGCCTTATTTCCTCTCTCACCAATTAGGAAAAAGATGTGTGCTGGAGAATTTAGTCTTCATGAGCTTTCACATATCATAGTATCAATGGAGGTTGACCATGCAGCCACTATAGATCCTAAAGGAAATCACAGCCGACCCAAATGAATGGTTCTGAGGAAATTTTTAAAAATAAAATGTAGAAATAAGACCTGTAGAGCAAGTACATGACTTAGATCACCCTCATTACTATTTGCTTCTCAGTGACTGTGTGGCCTTACAAAGGCTATTGCAGTCTCTGGGCCTCAGTTTCCCTTTCTGTGATCAAAACAGGATGAGCTGATGGAAACTTGGTGAATCTCTGAATCCACATGTTTCTTCCCATTTTAACCCTGAGATACACTGACTATGTCTTAATGCCCATGTCAGAAGGAGCATGAAGAAACTTGAAGGTCAGGAGATTTAATACATCCAGAGAAATTTACTGCTGCATCTTTAATTTACAAAGTTTTTCCTTTTAAGATCTATGCCTGTTGCTGAAGTTGGTCACTCTGTCCCCAGTCGGCAACTCAGGGCCTTCCTGTAGCCTGGAGACACCAGTTCCTGCTTCTCCAGTGCCACAAGGTACAGGTAGGTTCTGGGCTGAGATGAAGCTGAGGATGCTGAGACAGAGCTTCTCCCTGGGCTTCATCTCTGGACAAAGTGAATCTCCACATACTCACCTGTGGAATTCTCCCTCCAACACCCAGACTCAGCAGCAACCACTCTAGATGGCCCTCAGAGGTTGGTCCTGGCACTGTGCCCAGCTCCTGTCCTCAGACTCTTGCCTGCTCTCTGGGAACACAGGGCTGGTCTCACCAAAGTGCCACATGTAAGATCATTCTCACTACCTTCACAAGGACTCTCAGTTCCCCTTGCCATGACAGACCTCATCTCCACCCAGTACCTGATCCTGCTGCAGGACTGCATTCCTGAGGGGTGAGCAGGCTCTTGCTTTTCCTGGCAGTACTTCCGGAGTAAAGACAGGTTGGAACTCAGCATCTCATCCAAGTGAGAAGAAAGATTCAGCACCTCATTGTTACTCATTAGATCTCAGCTTTGATTAAAAATAAATTCAAGGGATTTCACTCGTGGTCCAGTAGTTAGGACTCCATACTTCCAATACAGGGGCAAAAGTTCGATCCCTGGCTGGGGAACTAAGAACCCACGTGCCACTTGGCAATGCCAAACAAACAAACAAACTCCAAGAAATGAATTAAGACTTAGGAATTCTTTGAGCTCCCTGAAAATCAGCTACTGGGAGAACATTTCATTAGATTAACTTGTATATTTTTTTTATTCTCATTATGCAATGTGTTAGGTGTGAAATGTGACAGGCATGTGAACTCAATCCCAGGCATCACTCTTTTCTAGATGTATAACCCTGGGCAAGTTCCTCAAATTTTATAAGCCTCAGTTTTCTCATCCTTAAACATTCCAGAGAGTTAAGTCAGGGTTAAATAAAATCATGTACCATAACAGGCTTAACAGAGTGTATGGTGTCCAAAACCTACCTAGAAGCCTGCAGTTAGTGTTACTCTTTTGCAGAACCACATACTACTCTACACAATCATTTTAGCTCCCATTTTGCAGTTGACATTTGACACAGATTTGAACATTCTTAGGGGGGTCATATAAAGGTTATTGACGAAATTCAACCATTGAGCATAATTGGTAAAGATGAGGACCACAGTTGTAAGCCAAGAGTGGTCTGAGCAGGGTCTGGCTTGGTACCTGTGGAAGCTGTGCAGCCTCTGGGCCAGCAGGCGCTCCAGTGCCCGCACCTTCCCCAGGAGCAGACCTCGAACTGCTGTCTCCTCCCTGCTGGCTGGGCTGATGTGCTGTGCAGTCAGACGCCAGACATGGATCTCATGCTTCAGTTCTGCAGGAAAGGAAAGTTGAGGCTTCAGTATCCTGCAACCTCAGATGTCAACACTTACTCCCCTCAGCATCCTCCAAGAACAGGAAACACACATTCATGATGCAGATATTCAGGGACCAAACCAAAAGAGGGGGCTTCTTAGCTTTCATGCTATTATGATTTGAAACAGAAGACAAAGCTGACTTTGAAAAATAACAGTGGATGTGAAGTAATATAATTTCAACTCTTTGGGTTAAGAATAAATTCTTGAATAGGCATATCAAAGCTAGTACCCAACAACTTTTTTCCCAGGCCAGCCTATGGGACCCTCTCCATCTCTGTGTTTGCAGAAGTAGAAACTGTGAATCTGGCCTTCCAGGTCCCCAGGGTTTCTTTCTGCAGTTGTCTTCTCCAGGGGCAGCTTCAACCCCTCACACACACCCAGAGTCTGGATGCCTTCTAACCCATCAAATCAAATAGGATGGGTTACTCTCCCCAGATCACCCTATGGGTTAATGCTCAGCTAGTCCACTTTTGTTCTCCTAGTTGGGGAATGAAATAAATATGCCACTAATCATGGGAAAATTTGGTTAAGAGACGTTTTGCCAAGGAAAAGGGAGCTCACTGCCTGCACCCAGAGTTCAGTTTGGCCAAGTATTCACTCCTTAATTCCCAGGCTTACCCTGCATCTCCACCACCATTTCCCCATCTTGTCTCTGTTAAGCTCCAAGACTATGATCCCAATCAGTGACTTGATGTTGTCCTCTGACCCTTGTGCTGTAAGATTCACAGATAAACCTTCCATCTACCCCGACAAAACCCTCTTCCCTCTTTCTTAATTTTTATATGACATTATTAATCTTCCAGGTACATGAACCTGAAATGTCATTTTGGTCTTATCAATGACATTCTCCTCTACATTTCTACATTGAACATGCAACAAGTGCCAGATAGGATGCTAGATGCTAAAGGAGAGAAGGAATTTGACATTAAAGGGACAGACCTCCAACAAGATAGAGAAATAAGATACATTACAAATGAACAGTACTGAGCCATGGGAGCAGTTCCGAATATAATGATAGGGATCTTGCAGGATCCACTTGTTCCTGCCTCAGTTCACCAGCTTATCCAGGTTTCATCTCCCCACATTTGCCAATTCTGGTTGCTCTCAGTAAACTTTGACTGAAGCCACTTCTTACCAACCCACCACTGGTTAATCTTAAAACACTGCTTGTTCTATCAATCTATCTATCTGTCATCTACAGAAACTATCTATATATTAATCTATTGATAGATAAATTCAGTTAGATTGATATATAGAAATAAGGACTCTATCTTCTTATTTACCTGTCTTCTGAGAGGATAATACTATGTAGGCTGATCAATCTAAGAAGATAAATGACAGACAGATACATTGATTTCTTCTTTCAAATATCCAGTGGTTCCTCATGATCTTTAGGGAAAACTCAAGATCCCTAAAGTGGTCCCTAAAGACTGAAGATCCTCAAATGGTGAGTGTCATTGTCAGCTTTGTTCCCACTGTATAAGTTTTAGCTGTTGCTTTTTGCTGACTGGCCCTGACCAGGATACATTATCAGATGCCTTATCTCTGCTTCTCTGATTACCACCAGCCCCTAGGAGCTTCTCAAGCAATCTCAGGCAAAAACATTACCATGTGGAATTTGCTCTCTCAGAGGAGGTGGCTCTAATTCAGGAGTCTCAGGGGAAGACACTGAGGCCAGAAGTTGATAAATGAATTTAAACTATTGTAAGATTCTTATACTTCATGTTAAGTAGTATAGTATCACTTGAAATTAGTTATAAAATTATAAATAAAAACACAGTTAGAAAAATGTAACATGATGATACAATTAAATTCAGCCATGTCACTAATCAGATTAAATATCAATGACCTAAACATACCAATTAAAAGACAATCTATCAGATTAGATAAAAAACAAGACCCAACTGTAAGTTATTTGCAAGAAATGTACTTTAAATATACACAAAAAATGTTAAAAGTGAAAGGATGACTTTAAAAAAAAATCAGACTAACAGCAGTCAAGAAAAAGCTGGAATTGCTACATTAAGATCAAATTATATTTCAGAGCAAAAATATTACTATGGCTAGGAAGGTCACTTCATAATAATAAAGGTGTTAATTCTTCAAGAAGATACAGTAACGTTAAATGTTTATGTACCCTATTTCTACTGATCTCCAGTAACATAGTGGGGACCTACCAACTTGGGGGGTTCATCTTTCATTGTCCTATCTTTTTGCCTTTTCATGCTGTTCATGGAGTTCTCAAGGCAAGAATAGTGAAGTGGTTTGCCATTCCCATCTCCAGTGGACCACATTCTGTCAGATCTCTCCACCATGACCCGTCTGTCTTGGGTGGCCCCACATGGCATGGCTTAGTTTCGTTGAGCTAGACAAGATGTATGCAGGTCAGGAAGCAACAGTTAAAACTGGACATGGAACAACAGACTGGTTCCAAATAGGAAAAGGAGTACGTCAAGGCTGTATATTGTCACCCTGCTTATTTAACTTATTTGCAGAGTACATCATGAGAAACGCTGGGCTAGAAGAAGCACAAGCTGGAATCAAGATTGCAGGGAAAAATATCAGTGACCTCAGATATGCAGATGATGCCACCCTTATGGCAGAAAGTGAAGAAGAACTAAAGAGCCACTTGATGAAAGTGACGGAGGAGAGTGAAAACGTTGGCTTAAAGCTTAACATTCAGAAAACTAAGATCATGGCATCCAGTCCCATCACTTCATGGCAAGTAGATGGGGAAACAGTGGAAACAGTGACTGACTTTGTTATTTGGGGCTCCAAAATCACTGCAGATGGTGATTGTAGCCATGAAATTAAAAGATGCTTACTCCTTGGAAGGAAAGTTATGACCAAGTTCAGTTCAGTCACTCAGTTGTGTCCGACTCTTTGCAACCCCATGAATTGCAGCACACCAGGCCTCCCCATACATCACAAACTCCCGGAGTTTACTCAAACTCATGCCCATCGAGTCGGTGATGCCATCCAGCCTCTGTCGTCCCCTTCTCCTCCTGCCCCCAATCCCTGCCAGCATCAGGGTCTTTTCCAACGAGTCAACTCTTCGCATGAAGTGGCCAAAGTATTGGAGTTTCAGCTTCAGCATCAGGCCTTCCAATGAACACCCAGGACTGATCTCCTTCAGGATGGACTGGTTGGATCTCCTTGCAGTCCAAGGGTCTCTCAAGAGTATTCTCCAACACCATAGTTCAAAAGCATCAACTTTTCGGCGCTCAGCTTTCTTCATAGTCCAACTCTCACATCCATACATGACCACTGGAAAAACCATAGCCTTGACCAGATGGACCTTTGTTGGCAAAGAAATGTCTCTGCTTTTTAATATGCTGTCTAGGTTAGTCATAACTTTCCTCCAAAGGAGTAAGCATCTTTAATTTCTTGGCTGCACTCACCATCTGCAGTGATTTTGGAGCTCAAGAAAATGAAGTGTGACACCGTTTCCACTGTTTCCCCATCTATTTCTCATGAGGTGATGGGACCAGATGCCATGATCTTGGTTTTCTGAATGTTGAGCTTTAAGCCAACTTTTTCACTCTCCTCTTTCACTTTCATCATGAGGCTTTTTAGTTCTTCTTCACTCTCCGCCATAAGGGTGGTGTCATCTGCATATCTGAGGTTATTGATATTTCTCCCGGCAATCTTGATTCCAGCTTGTGCTTCTTCCAGCTCAGCGTTTCTCATGATGTACTCTGCGTATAAGTTAAATAAGCAGGGTGACAATATACAGCCTTTACGTACTCCTTTTCCTATTTGGAAGTCTGTTGTTTCACGTCCATTTCTAACTGTTGCTGCCTGACCTGCATACAGGTTTCTCAACAGGCAGGTCAGGTGGTCTGGTATTCCCATCCCCTTCAGAATTTTCCACAGTTTATTGTGATCCACACAGTCAAAGGCTTTGACATAGTCAATAAAGCAGAAATAGATGTTTTTCTGGAACTCTCTTGCTTTTTTGATGATCCAGTGGATATTGGTAATTTGATCTCTGGTTCCTCTGCCTTTTCTAAAACCAGCTTGAACATCTGGAAGTCCATGGTTCACGTATTGCTGAAGCCTGGCTTGGAGACTTTTGAGCATTACTTTACTAGCGTGTGAGATGAGTGCAATTGTGCAGTAGTTTGAGCATTCTTCTGCATTGCCTTTCTTAGGGATTGGAATGAAAACTGACCTTTTCCAGTCCTGTGGCCACTGCTGAGTTTTCCAAATTTGCTGGCATATTGAGTGCATCACGTTTACAGCATCATCTTTCAGGATTTGAAATAGATTAACTGGAATTCCATCACCTCCAATAGCTTTACTCATAGTGATGCTTTCTAAGGCCCACTTGACTTCACATTCCAGGATGCCTAGCTCTAGGTCAGTGATCACACCATTGTGATTATCTGGGTCGTGAAGATCTTTTTTGGACAGTTCTTCTGTGTATTCTTGCCACCTCTTCTTAATATCTTCTGCTTCTATTAGGTTCATACCATTTCTGTCCTTTATTGAGCCCATTTTTGCATGAAATGTTCCCTTGGTATCTATAATTTTCTTGAAGAGATCTCTAATCTTTCCCATTCTGTTGTTTTCCTCTATTTCTTTGCGCTGATCACTTAGGAAGGCTTTCTTATCTCTCCTGGCTATTCTTTGGAACTCTGCAGTCAAATGGGAATATCTTTCCTTTTCTCCTTTGCTTTTCGCTTCTCTTCATTTCACAGCTATTTGTAAGGCCTCCTCAGACAACCATTTTGCCTTTTTGCATTTCTTTTCCATGGGGATGGTCTTGATCCCTGTCTCCTGTACAATGTCATGAACCTCCTTCCACAGTTCCTCAGGCTCTCTGTCTATCAGATCTAGTCCCTTAAATTTATTTCTCACTTCCACTGTATAGTCATAAGGGATGTGATATAGGTCATACCTGAATGGTCTAGTGGTTATCCCTACTTTCATCAGTTTAAGTCTAAATTTGGCA